TTTTCTCATGTAACGGTTTCCCCCCTCATCTTAGCAGCATGTGCCACGCAGGGGAGCAGCCACTGGGACTCACATGGCGTTCAGCTTGCTGCCCACCAAGCCAGCCCTGGGAAGGTTTGGGCAGGGAGGCGGGAGGGGCACCACGGGGCGGGGGCAGAGAACCAGGGGGGTTCAGACTGCAAGAGGCTAGCTCAGACCAGGCCCCCTGGCCTGTCTCCTCTCCACAGAGACAGCCAAACGCTTCCCCCGCCACCACCTGGGGGACCCTGCAGCTGGCTTGTGCCTGCAGCCTCGGGGACCTGAGGGGTTCTGCTTCTGAGCCAGTATCTCAGCCGCTGGCCTCAGGCCAGAGGTGCCGTCCCTCCTGCTGAGAGAACACCTTGGGCTTCAAAGCCACCGTCTTTGTGCTGCCACAACTAGGTTCCAGATACACCCCGACACACTGCTGTGTGGAGGGGCGTCTGTGGGTCTGTGTTTGCCCCTTGGGGCCAGACCTGGTGGTCATGGTGCCCGACTGGGGGTTTTCACGGGAAAAGTAACTTCAGAAGCCTTTTCCTGCTTGATCATTTCCACTGCTCCCGTTCACAGAGCTGCTTTTAAAAAACCGCGTAGCTTTGATCCCTAGGAGGAGAGGAAGTGTGTGCCCGGAGGCATGAAGGGTACCAGCAAACCGGGAAAATTCCAGAATTCCGGGTATGCTGAAGGAAGTTCTGACTTGTCAGGACACTTCCCTCTGCGGAGCTTGACAAAGCGGGTGGTGACTTATTCTCCATCAGCTCACAGATATTTACTAAAGACCCGCCACAGATGAAAGCTCTCCTGCTGCCAGAGCCCTCAGGCTTCCTGCTGGCCCGCCTCCTTGGGCTGAGGAGTTGGGTATGAATAGTGTTTCTGTGGCCTCTGCTTCAGTGGCACCTCTCCCTCATCCCTTAGGGCGGTGGCCCGGCCCCACACCTCGTGGCCTTTACTCTCAGAGCCACGTGGGATCCAAGCTGCCTGGAGTCCAAGTGCCGCCCCCGTCGGCAAGCATTTCGTACTCACAAGGGCCCAGGCTCTGGAAATCATCCCGACACGGGGGCCACTGGAGGTTTCTGGGCAGGGACGGACAGGAGGCTTCAGCGTGGCAGTGCACCGTGCACGTTACCTCCCCAGAAGCACCCTTGGCTCGCCTTTCCAGAAAGGGCGTCAGTTAACCAAAGAGTGCACCCTCTGGTGTGTCTGCCAGCAGCTCTGAGTCAGGGGCCCAGGGCCCAAGCAGAGAAAGGAGACTCGAGAAAGCCAGCAGCTTCGTGTGTCGGCCGGGTAGCAGGCCAGCCTGGGCTCTGCCCATGTCGTGGGCTCTCCAAGTCATGAGACAGAAGGCCATAAAGGAAACTAGAAGGGGCTGCTCTGAGGTGTTTGGCAAGCGGCTCCCAAGTGTTGGGAGGCCAGCAGGAAGGGGAGTAGCAATTGGAAGGGATGTAGAGGCGAATGAGTCCATCCCTGTGTCGCTCCCTCCCGTCCCTGTGCCGTCCTCCCCGTTCAGGAATTTCTTAGCCCTGCCCGGGAGTCATTGCAGTTGCCTCCCGGGACCTCCCATGTCTGGGCATTCTGCACGTAGGCAGTCTGCCTCCTCCCCACAGCCTCGGAGGCCCCGTGCCCTTCTGGCAGATCCTGCATTGCGGGGAGCGGTGAGGGACGGACCGACCAGTCCAACGGCTCTGGGCGCAGCTCCCAGCTTCTCCACTTTCAGCTCGCAGCCTTGCTGTTCCACCTCTTACCCCGGGGGTTTCCTCATCTGTAGAATGGGTGTGCAGGTCCCTGCATTGTCATCGCAGAGGGGTGACAATCAATGGCAGGATGTATGCAAAGCGCCCGCACAGTGCCTGGCACGTGGAGGATCAGGAATGGCAGCCCCTGTGTCCCCGAGCCTGGGTCTCACCCAGAACACCATATGCCTGCCTGGCCAGGCTCTGCCTGCTGGAACCCTGCCCTTTGAGGTCCAGCTTGGACAGCACTGGCCCCCGCAGCTCACCCAGCCAGGAGCATGTTTGGCGTGTTTAAACCTCCCTTGCAGCTCTTATCACTGTGTCTCTGTTCTGCCTGATGTTCTTATCTCCCTCGCCAGAGGGGTGCTCCTCAAAGCCAGCACAGCCTCTCCCCTGGCGGCAGGTAGCGGGCCTGCCCACTCCCTCGCGACGGTGGTCGCTAACTGGAGCCTGAAGTGCTCACACCTGACAGCCTTGGGTCACAGCGCCTCAGCCACAGGGCATTCACTGGCCCAGACCCGAGGATGGCCGGAACGGGACCGCATAGCAGGGCGGCTGGGCCTGGACCCCAAGGCTCTTTCACCCCCATCGCTTTTTCTTTTCTTTTTAAATTTTATTTACTTTTATAAATTTATTTATTTGTTTATTTTTGGCTGCATTGGGTCTTCACTGCTGCGCGCGGGCTTTCTCTAGTTGCAGCGAGCGGGGGCTACTCTTCGTTGTGGTGCGCGGGCTTCTCGTTGCGGTGGCTTCTCTTGTTGCAGGGCATGGGCTCTAGGCACGTGGCCTCAGTAGTTGTGGCACGTGGGCTCAGTAGTTGTGGCTCGCGGGCTCTAGAGCGCAGGCTCAGTAGTTGTGGTGCACGGGCTTAGTTGCTCCGTGGCATGTGGGATCTTCCCAGACCAGGTCTCGAACCTGTGTCCCCTGCGTTGGCAGGCGGGTTCTTAACCCCTGTGCACCACCAGGGAAGTCCTTCCATGCCTTTTAGTCCAACTCTCCAGCCAGTGCCCAAGAGCAGCTGCCCCCAACGCGTGCCCCCTCTGCCTGGCACTGGGCTCCTCACCGCTGAGGAGGGAGGGAGAGGCGGGGGCTGCTCTGTTGTAGCGCGGGGTGGGGGCAGGGAGAAGTTAGCCAGGCGGAGGGCAGGAGGGGAGTTGGGGGAGTCGGGAGAGGATGGGGACCTCCGCTGTTAACCTGGAGCGTGGCAAGCGGCCCCACAGAGCATATTGGCTGGACGAGGCGCAAGGGTGCTGAGCAGGATGTGCAGAGCATCCATCCTGCATTGCGAGGCCCTGAGCATCCCTGCTCTTCTCTCTCCCGGCTCCTCTGTGCCAGCCTCCTCCTGCTGCTCTTTTTACTTAAACTCTTAATTCATCAAAGCGGATCGTCTGCCCCGGTCACCGAGCCTGCAGATCGGCTGTTTATTTTCCATATCATATTGATCAGGTTTCCCCGCTGAGATGACTCAATTACAAGGCCTCCCGTTGGTGCAGGATTCGAGCTTCCGCTGCCCCCAAGGGGCCACTGCAGCGTGCCTGCCTGGTCTAGGGCAGCCGTTCGTCCCCACGTCCCTCCCTGGGGGAAAGAAGGTTCTCCTGCCTTCCTGTTCTCTGATCGGCTCCTGGAGCGGCTGTCCTGCCGGCTCTTGGCATACAATGTCTTGTGTTTTCGGATTGTTCCACTGCGCGTTCTTTGTTTCTCTCCTGCGTGTCAGATTCCTCACTCCTCTCCAAACATGGCCAAGGCTAGAAGGCTGAAGAACGCCAGTCCTTGAGAGAACAGCCCCTTCTCCGAGTGGTCTTTATTATAAGTGCCCACGGGTGCCTTGCATGGGTGGAGGTCGTGTAGGTGCTCAGGGATGAAGCCCCATCTCCGTTCCAAGTTCGCTCACTTCCCAGGTGCCTGGGGCAGGTGTCCTCAGATCACACGGCTCCACTGCTCCTCTGTGTGAGAGCCTGAAGTGGGTGCCCTCTGCCTGTCGCAGTCACTTGGGGGTCGTGTCATCGTAAATCTGACCATTCAGAGTCCAGGTGGGAGCTGGGCTGGGGCCGTCGCTGGCGGAGCAGTCCGAATGGGTCAGCACACGGGGAAGCGAACAGGTTGGGGGTCCTTCCACTTTCTGGCTGGTAGTAACCACCTCTGTAGTCTAAGCTGCAGTTTGAACTTAGGGGGACCTGGAGCTGGAGCCCTGGAGGCGCCTGCAGGCTGAATTGCAAGCAGGGCACACTCCTCTCAGAGGTTAGAAATAATATAAGGGCAGTAACATAGGTCAGACCAAACATACGGTGGGGGGTTGGCTCATGCAGTTTCCCGGAGAGGTACCGCCAGAGGGACAGGCTGCAGAGGGAGCCTCCTGCGGGGCAGAGGTGTGCACTCCCTGGTGGGTCGTGCGCAGGCCAGCAATACCTCGATAGAGCCGCCATCACAGAGGATGGACAGATACAGGAAGGCCTGCGCTCAGAGGGTCACAGAGCAGCAGTCACTCAGCAGTCCCACCTGGTGGCTGGTCTCAGAACCACCCGTGGACCTTTTTACCAGACAGCTGCCCGGCCTCCTCAGAAAGGACCCTGTTCTGGGCCTTCATGGGACTCACAGTCCCTGAGTGCCCTGCCAGGGCGGAAGTGAAGCCAGGCGTGCAGGTGGGGAGCCAGGCTGAGATCTGAGAGGCCCGTGTGACAGGCAACAGCAAGTTCATCTCCGAAGGCCGCTGCCAGCTCTGGCCGAGCGCAGCCTCTCCACAGCGACTCCTCAGCCCTGGCTGTCACCTGGCGGGGGTGGCTGGGGCCGTGGCTTGGCCTGGGCCCCACGTTCCCCCAGGGAGGCACCCACGTGGGTTTCACAGTGGCAGCCAGTGCAGGCCCACTGCTGGTGACTCAGGCTCCCACCCAGCTGGGCAGGCCCAGGAGGCCATGATTTCCACACCGCCGTGGTCACGGCCCTGCTGGAGAGGGGTCAGTGCTCACCCACCCCCTCTGCTGCCTCCCCCACCCCGGGGGGGTGCCTTGGCTGACGGGGCCAGCCCCTCTGCACTGCGGGCCGGAGTGGGGGGTGGGGGGCAGCAGCTGCAGAGAGAAGAGTGGGCTTCAGCCCGCAGGGCCCCTGCCAGGGCTGCGCCTCAGTTTCCTCTCCCGCAGCCGGGGAACACCGTCAGTTGTGGGGAGTGCTGGATGCAGACGCTACACGTGAAGGTGTTACTTCCATGGCGGTGCTGCTGCTCTTGCCGGGCCCGAAAAGGTGTGTGCGGGGTCCCCGAGCAGGACCGAGCGGCAGAGTCCTGGCCTCCCACACAGACGGGGCACTCCCCGCCCTCCGGCCTCCTCCTGGGGCCTCCCCAGGCCCCTCCTCTGGAGCACAGCCCAGTGCTCAGCACAGCCTCCCTTTGCTGATGCTCTTGCTGTGGTTGGCATGTGGCTTGCTTTTTCCCACTTTTCCCTTTTGGCCTTTTGTCATCCTTTCGTCCACTTGTGCCAGTTCTGGACTGTGGGCCTTGGAGAGAAGGGACATGGGGCAAATCAGCCTGAGGGACTGGAGCTTGGAGCTCCCAGGTGGGGGTAGGGCGAGGAGACTGGTAGGGACCCAGATGTTCCCAGCACAGCCCCCCAGGTGCCAGAGCAAGGAGGCCCCGCATCGGAGCTGTCAGAGGGCTCCCAGGGAAGATGGGGAGGTGACACTCCTGGAGGGCCTGGAAGAGGCTGTGGGGTCTGCCTGTGCCCTCTCCCCTCAGAGAAAGGACGTAGTCCCCGCCAGCAGGGGCTGGTCCCTGGGGGCGCCCGTGTCCCCTGTACTGAGCAGGCCCTCGGCCCGGAAAGTGTGGTTTTTGAGCCCTAGCACTGCAGCTACCCTTTCAGTTCACCAGAAGTGTCTTGTCTCACATCAGACACCTAACTCATTTCCCTCTGGCAACCACTGAATTTGAGAACGTCCTGTTTTACCATAATCAAAAGAAGTGAAACTGCCCCATGAAATAAAGTAGAACACCCCAGAAACACCTAGGAGAGACCAGGGTCTTTCCTTATAAAGTCAAAAACGGGAGGGCAGCCCCTGCCTGCCCTTGGAGGTCCCCCAGAGACTGGTGCATGGTGGAGGGGCCCTCAGCCAGCCCTGCTTCCTTTCTGTGCCCCATCCCCTCCTGGGCTCCCGGGGTGCAGCTGCCATGAATTGCAGGGGCATGCAGCTCCCCCCAGACTCCCCTTCACCCCAGGCAGGGAGAGGCAGGGATAAAGGCCTATAGGCTAGGTCTGCCCTACAGTTCTGTGGTTCCCCTGGAGAACCAAGATGCGTGGGGAAAGTAACAGCAGTCATCGGTGTGGGCAGCATGGTTGTCGCAGGAGTACCCCGGAGCACACACTTGCACACAGCAGCCCACGGCAGCCTGGCCACAGCTTGGTGAGTGCACACCTGTCACCCCATTTTACAGAGGTGGAAACTGAGGCCCAGTGAAGCTGATAGCCCAAGACCACACAGGTTAGGGTTAGGGTTAGGGTGTCTTCGGGAGCCCCGGGAGCGGTCCTGACAAGTGGGCAAAGACTGCTGCTGGCCACCAGGAAATTGTGTGTTTGTGTGTGTTCACACCCGTGCACGCAAGAAGTGACTTCTGGGCACCACAGTTGGCCCGTGTGGGGCAGGTCTTCCCTCCCACTCGGCGCTTGTCCCGTGGCAGTCCTCATGTTCATTTGGCCTCAGGATCTGCTCGCCTCTCAGATGTGCCCCTGGGGCGTGCAGACCCTTGGTCCCCGAGAGTCCTTCGCAGAGAGGCAGGAGTTCAGTGGGAAAGGGAGGCCACAGTTCCCTGAGCGAAGGGGCTTCCGTGAGCCTCGGTGTCTCGCTGAACCACAGCAGCCCCGTCCGGGTGTGGGCCCCGCAGCCCTGTGAGGGGGCCTGGACAGTCTGCACAACCCCGCAGGGGTGGGGGACCCTCTTGGGGGCTGCGGAGCTGCCAGCGCAGCCTGACCGGGTGGGCGCAGCCAGGGTAGGCTTCCGGCAGTAGGACCCCCCGGCCCTGGGTTTGCAGGAGTGTGTGGGTTTGGAGCAGGAGCTCGTTTGGCTCCCCGTTTTGCCATTGGCTGCCATGTTCAGCATCCCTGGGAAGCCATCGTGGATGCCTGAGCCCTCGCCCTCCTCCCCTGAGGCTCACACTCTCTTCCCTCCTTTCGTTCCCCAGCTGGTCAGTGAGAAGGTCGGAGGGGCTGAAGGGACCAAGCTGGACGATGACTTCAAAGAGATGGAGAAGGTAACAGGAGAGGGGTGCCTGTCTAACGCTGGCAGTGCTACCAGCCCCCATAGGCCCCGGCCCTGGCACCTGGGGGGAGGCGAGGCTTTTACCGGAAGGGTCTAGGCGGGTCGCAGGCCTCCCCCCAGCCCAGAGCAGGGAGTGGTGGGGGCAGAGCACAGCCAACAGCAAGGAGGCAGGGAGGCGAGGCGGCTCCCAGAAGCAGCGGGCAGTTCTTGCGTGGGCTCTGAGGCGGTTGGGGAACTGGGACCAGGGCAAGGGCTGTCCAGGTGCTCCTGGTTTGGCCTCAGGCGCCCTGATGGTTTCAAAACCCTACACGTGGACTCCCTTTACAGAAGGTGGATGTTACCAGCAAGGCCGTGACAGAAGTGTTGGCCAGAACCATCGAGTATCTGCAGCCCAACCCAGGTAGGGCACCAGCCAGCTGCAAGGGGTCTGACCCCAGCTCCTCGGGTCTCTTGTCAGTCCAGAATCTTTTGGTTACTGGAGCATGAAGAAGCAGTGCGTGGGCCCACAGAACTGAAATGCCCAGGGGCAGGCAGGTTCAGGCATGGCTGGATCCAGGCATCCAAAGGATGTCTTCAGGGTCATGCGTTTCCTTTCTGCTTTATCTGTCAGCTCTCGCTTTTCACGGCAACCCTAGCCTTAAATTATCCTTAGAGCTAATGGTCCCAGCAGAAAAGGGCATCTTTTCCCCCCAGTCAACTCTTTGGACCAATTTGAATCAGGTGCCAGGCCCCAGCCACAAGCCTGTCTTTGGAGCATGAGGTGGGGTCTCCGAGGCTGAGAGGGAGGCAGGGACTTTTCCTGGAGAAAAATCGAAATGTTGGTTCCTGTAGTGAAAGGCAGAGGATGCAGGACAGGCAGCAAAAGCAGCTGTGTCCACCTGAGGCCTTCGCTGAGGACAGACTGGAGCTGGCAGAGGTGCAGGCACGCCCCTCACCTCCCGCCCCCGGTAGAGGTCTGCACTGGGGGCACCTGTACCTGTCCACACCTCTACCTGCCTACCCCGCTTCTCTGGGGGTCTCGAGGAGCTGGCCCCCTCTCCTGCCCACTGCCAGTACTCCTGCACGAGGACCAGAGCAGCGGGGGGACGTCTCTTCAGGAGGTTCTTCTCACGCTCTGGTTCCTCAGGCCGAGGGAGCACTTCAGAAATAAACAAGCACCCGGGCAGAGGGGGGCAGCTGGCAGTCTGGTGGCTCCTTGAGAGACCACACCCACCCGGCCCCGCCCTCTTCTAGCCTCTCGGGCCAAGCTGACGATGCTCAACACGGTGTCCAAGATCCGAGGGCAGGTGAAGAACCCTGGCTACCCGCAGTCGGAGGGCCTGCTGGGCGAGTGCATGATCCGCCATGGGAAGGAGCTGGGCGGCGAGTCCAACTTCGGTGAGGCTGTGGGGAGGCTGGAGGCGGGGGCGGGCCTGAGAGCTTGGGGCCAGAGTCTCTGTGCTGCCAGCAGGCTGGCAGTTCCCCGTAGCTCGAGGATCTTCTCCAGGGTGGCTGGTCCCCTGGACGAGGGCTGCCTACAGCATCACGGCCATGCGAAAGCCACCCTCCCGGCCCACGGTGGACCTGGGTGCCTTCCAAGAGGTGGGAGGGCGGCTCGTGAACACCTGTCACCACCGGCCCCCGTGGCTCCGGGTCAGACTTAAGGGTCCCTTGTTTCGTTCTCTGTTCTGGTGTCCAGGTCCTTGGCCGTGGGGTGTGCCTCGGCCGCGCAGGCCAAGGCCTCCTGTGACGGCTTCCTCCGCCACCCCATCCTCTCCCCAGGCGACGCCCTGCTGGATGCCGGGGAGTCCATGAAGCGCCTGGCTGAGGTGAAGGACTCCCTGGACATAGAGGTGAAGCAGAACTTCATCGATCCCCTCCAGAACCTGTGTGACAAGGACCTGAAGGAGATCCAGGTATGCGGGGCCGCTCCAGGCCCACCCTCGCTCCTCCCCCCTCCCCCCACACATACAGCCCAGGCCAGGTTTCCCAGCGGGAAGGGCTGCAGGGCATCAGGTGGCCCTCCCCGAGGTCCCAGGCACGTGGTGTGACCCTCGTCCCGGCCCCCAGCACCACCTGAAGAAGCTGGAGGGCCGCCGCCTGGACTTTGACTACAAGAAGAAGCGGCAGGGCAAGATCCCCGATGAGGAGCTGCGCCAGGCCATGGAGAAGTTTGAGGAGTCCAAGGAGGTGGCCGAGACCAGCATGCACAACCTTCTGGAGACTGACGTATGTGTGTGGGCCCTGCCCCTCCCCGCGTGCACCCACCACACCGGCCTGCCGGGGACCACCCTGGGGGAGCCCCTGAGACAGGAGCCCAGCGGCAGTGCCCACTTCCCAGGGCCAGTGGGCAGCCTGTTCAGGGTGTGAAGGGAAGGAAGGGGGAACAGGAGGCCCACAGGAAGCCACTGGCCCACTGAGGCTTTGGGGTCTCCTCAGGCCCTTCACCCTCCTCCGGCTGCAGCTCAAGGGTCAGGCGGGGGCTGGGCCCACGTCTGGAACAATCTGGGAAGGCTTCCTGCAGGAGGCAGCCAGAGATGGGGGCCAGAAGGAGGGCAGCTCTTCAGCCCTGGCTGGTCCCTTGCAGATCGAGCAGGTGAGCCAGCTCTCCGCCCTGGTGGATGCCCAACTGGACTACCACCGGCAGGCCGTGCAGATCCTGGATGAGCTGGCTGACAAGCTCAAGCGAAGGTGGGCCTGGCCCCCCGGCCTTCCCCGCGGTAGCCCTGGCCCACCCTGCTGGCTGGGAGGCCCGGTGGCTGGGTGCTGCGGCTGCTGGGGCAGCCCTGGGGGACCCGTGGGACGCCCCCGCCCCTGGACAACCCAGCCCCACTGTGACATGTTCCTTCCAGAGCAGCAGGGTTACTTCCTTTTCAGAAAGAATCCCCAGGCTGCATGAGTCGGGGCGGGGGTCCCAGGAGGGAGCAGGACCTCATCACGCTCATCCTGGTCCCCAGAGGAGAGGCTTGGGATGTCCTGTGGGGAGAGGGTTTGGCCAACCCTGCCCCTGGGGAGCCCCTTCCTCTCTTTCCCTGTCTCCAAGGGCCATCTTGCAGTCAGCAGCATCCAGGGCCTAAGAAGGGAAGCCCCGGTGGGCGGTGGTTCCCTGGTGAGGGGTGGGTATCTGTTGGGCACCAGCTCCCCAGCCACCACTGCCGAGGAGGCTTCTGGGTGCAGTAGGACCAGGCCTGTAGGCAGCCTTGGAGATATGCCTGGGGGCCCCCCTCTCGCCACCTCCCACGTGCATCCCGAGGCAGCAGCATAAATAGCTGGGGTTGGAGGCGTTGTTCCCTGACCTCAACACGCGAGGGCTCAAGAGGTGCCCTGCAGCCGCTCACAGGCGTCCTTCCCCATGCAGGATGCGCGAAGCCTCTTCGCGCCCCAAGCGGGAGTATAAGCCCAAGCCCCGGGAACCCTTGGACCTCGGAGAGCCTGAGCAGTCCAACGGGGGCTTCCCCTGTGCCACGGCCCCCAAGATCACAGGTAATGGAGGAGAGGGCACCACTCTGCCCCAGGCCCCTTCGGGGGAGCCCCCAGCCCGCCACCCATCCAACCGCAGGGCCAGTTCTCTGCACGAGGAGCCCCAAGGATGGGCACCAGGCCCCACGCCAGCATTCTCAGCCCACCTCTGTTCTTTGTTTGCAAGCAGCTTCGTCATCTTTCCGATCTTCCGACAAGCCCACCCGGACCCCCAGCAGCAGGAGCATGCGTGAGTGTCCCCAAGGGGCCCAGGCCCTGCCCCGTGCCCCTGCCTCGGTTTATGATGCCGCCTGCTAATCTGTGCCCCAAGGGTCCTTCTCCACCCCTTCTCTGGTAGAAGTGGAGCTGGGCTTCCCTCTGTTCCAAGTGGTACCCTAAGAGCTGTGTGCTTCTGGTCACTATCACCCTGATGCCACTGGGTGTCCCCAGCTCCTCCCAGGAGCGTTTTGGTGATGACTCACAGAGCCCTTTTCCCTCCCCTTGTCACTTGGCTCCTTCTGATAGCGGTGGGGGCCACAGGGGAGGGAGCGGCTCTCCTTGGGGGAAAGCAAGGAGCAGTGAGTGGGCAGGAAAGGGGGGGGGGGGGGGGGGGAGGGGAGAGGAGGCGACATCCCCCTGCGCACCCACAGGGGCAGGTGACAGCCTGGACCTCCCCCCGCCCCCAGCACCCCTGGACCAGCCGAGCTGCAAGGCCCTGTACGACTTTGAGCCTGAGAACGACGGGGAGTTGGGCTTCCATGAGGGCGACATCATCACGCTGACCAATCAGATCGACGAGAACTGGTATGAGGGCATGCTCCACGGCCAGTCTGGCTTCTTCCCCCTCAGCTACGTGGAGGTGCTGGTGCCGCTGCCCCAGTGACCGCGTCTCCATGGTGTGTCGGCCCGCCGCCCCTCCATCCAGATCTCTGCATTCCACGGGCCCCGCAGCTGGGCAGTGCTCACAGCCTGCGGGGCGGCCCGCTCTGGGCCTGATCCAGCCCCAGGGCAGCGGGGCCCCTGTTTACACTAGTGCTCACCCCCGGTGGTGGGGGCTCCCTTCCCCACTCCACGTGGCCGTCTTGGGGGCTGGGCAGTGTTCCTCCTTCCTGCTGCTCACAACTCTGCCCCCCCAGCTCCGCCCGCCCCGCCCCAGGAGGTTCACACTAAGGTGCTCTTAGAAACACTAACTCCTCCCACCCTTCCAGGGACTGGTAACTCAAGGTGGGCCCCCCTTCTCTCTCTCCTCTCTTCTCTCTCTCTCACTCACACACACACACACACACACACGCACACGCATCCTCTCCCACCTCCATCCAGCCCCGCCCGGAGACCTGCCCTTAACAGGATAGGACTGAACATCGGTGTGATGGGGTGGTCTGGGTGAGACCCCTGTTTGAGACTCGCCACCCTGCTTTTAAATTCCCCCCGGACACTACCAGCCCCCTCCAGAGCTCCCTAGGCCCCTGAGTGCCTACAGATGCCACCTTCCTGGAAGGGTTTCACCCCTTTCTTCTGGCTGGGGACTTGGGGAAGGACGAGCCTGGGCTTCTCAGGAGCCAGGGCCCCTAAAGACAGGCCATCTCCCCCCTGCAGGGCACTAAGCCCCAAACACCCGTGCCCACCACCGCATCCCAGGCCAAGCACATGGAGCATCTCTGGCACAAGCTGCCAGTGTGCGCGTGCGTGTACACACACACACACGGGAGCCCAGCTGCCAGTGTGCGCGTGCGTGTACACACACACACACACACACACGGGAGCCCAGCTGCCAGTGTGCGCGTGCGTGTACACACACACACACACACACACACACACACACACACACACACACACGGGAGCCCAGCTGCCAGTGTGCGCGTGCGTGTATACACACACACACACACACACACACACACACACACACACACACACACACACACACACACACACACACACACACACACACACACACACACACACGGGAGCCCAGCCTACACACATACATGCGACCACGGGAGCCCAGCCTCCACTATGTGGAAGGTCAAGCACAAAGGCTTTGTTAAGTGAATGTTCCCAGACCCCTGGCTGCTGGGACCCCTGGGGGAGTCACGGGCACCACCCTGGTGAGCCAGCCACCATACCCTCTTTGGACAGTGGCTCAGGCCATCTTCTCCAGACCAAGGTAGGCAGCTGCCCAGACCAGCAGGGCCCCAGCCCTGCACCCACTTCCCCTCTTGCCTAATCCAAAACTTGGCTAAACAGGGGACCCCGGGCCTGGTTCACATTCCCCTCCTCTGGTGACCCGGTAAAGCCCCCAAGGACACCAGGCCCTCCCTGCTCCTCCAAGAGGCCCCCGGTCACCAGTACCTGGAGGAGAGACAGACATCCCAGCCTAGGGCAGATCAAAATGTAATCCTGATTTTTTTAAAAAAAGTATTAAATGTCTCTTTCTACAGCCTCTTGCCTGGTTGTGGTGCAGGGCGGGGCCTCCCGAAGGGGTCTCCAGCCAGGGTGGGGCCCACATGAGCACCAGCCCACAGAGAGCCTGGGAGGGACGGCTGTCATCCGCCCAGTCGCCAGCACGGCCCCTCCCCATAGCCACGGCTGCATGAACAGCAACCCCTCCTGAATCCGTGAGACACATGCCTAGGCTGTTTCTCCTTTATTATCTGAGGCCCTGCCGTCACACACCTCAGTCACACAGGAACAAAGCAGCACAAAGGCCCTGGGCCCACTCCCCTCACGCAGAGCCTCGGGGAGCCACATCTGACCAAAGGCTTCCCTGGTCCTTGGAGGCTGGTGCTCTCAGCTCCCCTGCCTGAGGACGCTGTAAACCTGCTCCAGCACGTGGCACAGGCCCTGATCCTTGGGCGTCCTGCTGGCCAGGGAGATCTGAAATAAGGAGGCCTGGTGCCTCAGGGCTGCAGCCTGCCAGGGGGCTCTCCTAACCCAAGCACACAGCCACGTCCCTGAAGCCACACCTCGAGGCCTGGGGACATCGTCCTTTGGGGGTGAGGTTCCTCCACACTTTCCAAATCCTGCTCTTACACGCGCCCCCCTCGTGTGCTGAGGCCACCCCACCCACCTAGCACCAGTCTGGGAGGTAACCAGTGGCAGCTTTAAGCCCTGGTCACTGTTAAGTGTGAACAAAACAAGCAAACGTGTGAAGCTATTTCTCTGCAAAGCGGAGTGGGTAGTGTCTTCTGAGAACGACTCTAAGGCAGGACATGCGGAGCCCCTGCCGACACGTCCCGTTTACCAGCGGTAGGGCCAGCAGGCTAGACAAACCCACTCCCAGCACCAGCCGCTCTGCTCGGTTCAGCTTTGCTGCTGCTTAAGATTCAGAACCCCTCCTGCACCTCCATGGGCGCCCCAGGAGAGGCAGGGCCCAGAGCAGCGTCTCCAGCTGGGACGTCCCAGGGGTGATGAGGTCTACGGGGCTTTTGCATTTTCATCTGCATGTCGATGGTGATGTTCACCAGCGTCACCACCCCCATGTGATAAAACACGACTTTTCTTTGGTAGCATTCGTTTCTGACTGAAGTATTTTTGTATAGGCCCAGGTAAGAACTCACTTCTCTTCAAGCTGCCCACAGATATATTCAGTGGGGGGGGGGTCCCCGGGGCTCCCAGAGATCTTTATAAAAGGAGGGGTTTGCACAGGACTCAGCATGAGTCTTACCTTGAGCTTGTCGAGGTAGGTGTGCTCCTGGTTCCAAGGCTCCTGGAACCTGACGAGGTCAGGGGCGCCCTTGTAGAACTCCACCAGCAGCATCTAAGGAACGGTGGGGCAGGTGAGCCCCAGCGACCGTGCTTCCCGGGCCAGGCACTCAGGATACATTAGCGAGTGGGACAGACACTGCTACCACCACTCAGGGGGCTCTAGTCGAATGCAGTGTGGCACGTAGACGTTACCCAGGTCCTGAAGAAATTAGGGGCTTGGCAGGAGGGCCCCCTGGAGGGGCAGACAACTTCTGCAGAAGCAGCAGGCACACTGAATGTGATTCTTTATACCTGCCCCGGTCCTGACATGGCTCCACGGTTTAGCCTTAGCCAGAGCAGTAACATCAGTGAAGTCACAGGTGTGACGAACTAGCTCCGTTTGTTTACGTGCCTGCTCATTATTTGTCCAAGTAACACCTGAGGTTCTCACGTGTCCCACTTGGAGAATCCCTGGCAGCTGCGGAGGCCCAAGGCGGGAGCGTCCCTAGCATGTTCCAGAACAGCCAGGAGGGCGAGGGGGGAGAGGTAGGAGGGGCTGAGGCAAGGATCTGGGACTTGACCCTAAGAGCCCGTGATTTTCAGGAGCGGAAGAGGAGCCTGACTGGGCCCTGATGTGGCCCATTCAGCCAGCGCTTCCCAAGTCCTACGGTGTCATGTCCATCCAGCTGGGCGCCCTCATCTCCCACCTGCTCCTCCCAGGGCACTCACCCCACCCCCACCCACCTCACGCGGCAGTGAACTCACCATCTCATGAAGGACGTCATTAGTCAGGAAGCCATCCTGGACGTAGGCCATTTCCACGTCCATGGGGATGCCATAGTCACTGGGCCTTTGCTGGCAGAGACACATGGCAGTCACCACTAGCTACCCCCAACCCGGCCCCCCTCCAAGATGGCAGAGCACAGCAGGAAGTGCCCAGGGCTGGGAGTCAGAGAATTGATACTGCAGGCCTGGCTCCGCACTCGGATCAGATCCAGAGCCGCGCGAGACCTTAAAGGAACCCAGCAATGCGACTAGGGAGGCAGGGAGGCAGGGTGGCACCCCACCCCACCACACACACAGGAGTGGCCATGGCTCCGGAATTCCTTTCTAAAGCTGATTTCTGACCCCGAGATGGACTTGGGGAATGAAACCAGACAGGGCTCAGGAAGGAGGCTACCTTGGTGCAAAAGCAGCATGCTACAGGTAGAGCACCCACCTTTTCAACAGTCCTCACACCCATGGCCTCAGAGCAATGATTATGTTCCCATTTCACAGATGAGAGCAGGCCCCAGCTCCCCAGATGAGCCCGGAACCAGAGTACTGGCTTCCTGCTGCTAACAAGGCCTCCTGACCCCTCCCACACCCACACAGGGCCCCGCCCACGCCTCCCAGCCCCAGGCCTCCCCCCAGCAGCCCCGCCTACCTCAGGGGGCGGCATCACCCAGAAGGGCGAGATCTTGGACTCTGGGCCCGGGTTACCAGAGTAGTAAGGGGCTGGGGGAGGAGAGAGAGAGAAGGGGCTGGGCATGGAGGCACGATGGCCCGCTGGGGCCCCACGCCCGCCCCTTCACGGGACTCACAGCAGAGCAGGGCGAGGCAGGGCTGGAAGCCATTGCTGGAGCCCTGCAGCCGCAGCTGGTAGTCCATCTGTGCGTCGATGTCCTGCAGCGACGGCAGGGCCGGGCTGTACGGGTGGCTATGGTACCAGCCCACCAGGGACAGGCCCCGCAGGAGCAGGCTCTGGTAAATCTGGGGGCAGAGACGCACGGGGCCGGGGGCTCTAGCAGCCCTAGTGCGCTCACGTACCTGGCACCCATCCAGCCCCACGCGGCCAGCATTTAATGAGCACCTGCTGTGTACCAGGCCTGAGGGCACAGCAGTGACGCAGACACACCCTGCTCCACCCTCAGCGAGTCCAGTGTGTGTGTGGGGGGACAGTCAACAAATAAGTTAAAAAGTTGCTGCTATATTCCCTGGCGGTCCAGTGGTTAGGACTCCACGCTTTCACTGCCCGGGGCCTGGTGTTCAATCCCTGGTCGGGGAACTAAGATCCCGCAAGCCGAGTGGTGCGACCCCCCCCAAAAAAACAAAGATGCTCCTCACATAAATCTAAGGTAAAAGGTTATTTTGCTCACTGCTGTATCCTCAGCTCAAGGAACAATTCCCGGCACATAGTAGACGCTCAATCAATAGTTAAATCAAGAGATAGGGTAAAGAGAAAGGAAGAAGTGGGCGTAGAAACACGTGCGCGCCGAATCCCCACGCATTCTGTGCCCTGTGACAAGGTGAGTGTGGAGCGCAGGCGCGTACTAAGCACCCTATGAAAACATTAAGGACGGCAGCTAATACTTATCGGGCCTTTACCAGGTGCCAGACAGGCTCAGAGGGGAAGGGGCCGGCGGCGGCGTCTGTACAGAAGGAAGTATGACGGTGGGGGTCACAGGTGAGGGGACCGGAGGTCACACACACCCATTTGCACCCTTGCTGAGTGGCGACACGGTGCTAGGCGCCAAGACGCGGTAGCCAGGACAGCTGTGTCCGCGCCAGCCCTCCCCAGAACGCCGAGTTGCCGTGCGCCCCCTCACCTCCTCTTCCATGGCGGCCGCGGTATCCGCGTCCCCCAGCCGGCTCCGACAGGGGAAGGCTCTCAGCACCGTGAGCACTGCGCAGAGGCGGGAGAAGGCGTGGACATCGACCCCAGCCCCAAACACCCCCCTGCCCACAGGCCCCAAATACCCACTCTGACTGTTGATGTCCCAGCGGCCGCCCAGGTACCCCACGACCTGGCTGCGGGTCAGGTGGCTGTGGAAGTCCTGGGGAGGGGAGGGACATTGGAAGACCCGCTCAGACTGCGCACCGCCGCCCCAAGGCCGTCCTGAGGGCCAGGGCCCTTGCGTTGTGACGAGGTCAGCCCACCCACCTCCTTCTTCATTCAGACATTGATTGAGTGCTTACTGTTCACCGGTAGTGAACAGAGCAGACAAGGTCTCTGCTCTCATGGAGCCGACCTTCCAGGGATCCTCTGGTGGGGGTGGGGTGGGGGAACACCCCCTGCCCAGGCCTGAGAGCCCCTGGCCCCTAAGGGGCAAGGTAGGAGCTGGGCACACACCAGCAGGAACAGCACGTTGCTAGAGATGGCCACGTTGAACGGCTGGAACTTGTTGATAGCTGCGAAGGATGTTACTTCCACCAGGGTGTGCGGGTTCCTGAAGGAGCCAGGAGGGTTCCACAGCCTCAGGAACCCCCAGGCCCTTCCCTCACCCCCACGCTGGCTCCCCAGCTGCCCACAGCCAGCTCGGACCTGAGGCCTTGTCTCCACCCTACCCCTGCCTTTGTTCCCCATACGCCGGCAAGAGCTCACACCGATGGGGGTGAGGGTCCCGGCAGGCATGGGGTATATCTGACCTGGCAGAGTCTCGACTACCCAGCATGCAGTAGCGCACAGGCACCCGGATCTTGTTTTCCACCCTTTTCCCTGGGGGCGTGGCCTCTGCGGGGTTGGGGGGTAAGAGAAAAAAAAAAAGGCAGCGTCAGTTCCTTCCCCAGCCAGAAACTGGAAAATGAAGACCAGGCAGCCGGAGAAAGAAAAAGACAAAAAACAAAAAAAAACACTCCAGGGGCAGCCTTAAAAATCAGGCAAGTGGACTGGGAAGTCAGGCGGCAGGTTAACAAATCAGGCAGAAGAGATTTAAAAACTCAGATGAAGGGCTCAGGAAGTCAGGTGAGGACCAGTCAACGGGTCAAAGAAATCAGGCGGCAGGGCTAGAAATCAGGCAACAGGGCAAAGAAATCCTATGGGGGAGCAAGGAAATCAGGTGGCATGGTGAAGAAATCCGGCAGCAGATAAAGAAACTGGGCAGTGGGACCAAGAAATGTAGTATTAGAGCTTAAAGAAGTCAGGCAGTGAGAGCGAAATTAGGCAACGGGGGCTGGGAAGTCAGCCAGGCATCTTGGGGGCTCTAAGGAAAAGAAAGGCCAGACTTGCCCCCAGCCTCCTCCCCCACCTGAGTTCTGTCGGCCTCCTGCCCTTCCTCCTCCCCTCCTCCCCCCACCTCTCACCAGGGTGGACAGGCTCCGAGGGGCCCTTCACCGGTGGTCTCCGACTCTTGTCCTCTGCTGAGGCTCCTGTCAGAACCTCCTCCTCCTCTTCCTCCATCATTAGCTCCTCCTCCTCTCCTTCGCTGGCCGGGCTCTGGCGGGGTCGGGGTTGGGGGGACAGCGACGGGACTTTCAGCTGGCTGCTCCCTACCCTCCCGGCAAGTTCCACAGAGACCTCTGGCTGGCCTGAGCCTTCGGTTCCTGTCGTTGCCCCAGGTGCCCACTAGAGGGAGGGAGTGAGCAGAAACAATCTAGGCTGTGGACTAGCCTCCCAAGTTCGAATCTCGCCTCTGCCTATTACAAACAGACTTCGGGCTCTAGTCGCCTCATCTGTAAAACGGCACAATGACCTCCAGCCCCACAGGGGTGGCGTAAGGGTGAAAGAGAATGCGTGCAAAGCATTTAGCATATGCCCTGTAGCTCCATGCATCCAGCAAGCAAGCCAGCACTTTGCATGGATTATTTTACCAGATTCTCTCAATAACCTCTCCCCCTGCTCTCTCCTCAAGAAACTTTGCCGAGGTGACCTCTCTGTGTCCAAACACAATGGTCACATCTCAGTCTCTGTCCCCCTGCCCCCCTCTCGGCAGCCTCTGCCCGGGTCAGTTCCTCTCCTCCCAGAAACTCCTCAGGGAACCCCCCACTCACCTGGCTTCCCTCCCACCTCTCCTGGACCCCATTATTCTCCCCCATCTCACTCGCTGGCCCAGGGCTGGGTCCTCGGGCCTCTTTCCTTCCCCACCCACATCCCTCCTGGGTGGCCTCCAACCCCATCTACCCCCTGAACAACTGCCCACAGTCTTGACTCCAGCCTGGGGCTCTCCTGAGCTCCTGACTTGGGGTCCAGCTGCTCCTTGACATCTCCTCGTGGGGGGTTCACACTCAACATGGCCACCCTGCCCCAACCATCCCCCCAAACCTGCTCCTCCCCACATCTCTAATGAGGGCAATCCTGTCTACCCACTTGCTCAGAACAAAACATCTCCTAACACCAACATCAGATCCATCAGCACATCCCATCAGATCCACTTTCAGAATTAACCAGAACTTGCCCACTTCCTCCCCCCTCAATGGCTGTCCTGGTCCACCCCATCATCAGCCACCTGGATCTGCACAATCACCTGCACCCCGATTCCCCGGCTCCTACTCTCACGCCCTGGCCCCAGTCTGTCCTCCCTACACCCTACAGCAGCCACCAGAGGGCGGCCGTGAGCACCTGAGTCAGGTCCCGCCCCCTCCTCTGCCCACAGCCCTCCAGGGCTCCCACCTCCCTCAGGGTAAAAGCCCAAGTCCACCCCGCAGCCCATGAGGTCCTGCACGACTTGCCCCTGTCCTCCCCCCGCCGGCCCTGGTCCTCACCTCCTCCCTCTCTGCCCTTTGCTCACTCTGCTCCAGACACACTGGAGCCTCACTGTTCCTCAAAAACACCAGCCACAGTCTAGCCTCAGGGCCTTTGCATGTGCTGTTTTCCAGAAAGCCTTATGGCTCCCTCCCTCCCCTCCTTCAGTTCACTGATCAAATGTCACCTTCTCAATGAGGCCTTCCCTGACCACCCTAACCCTCCCACCACTCCCATCCCCTGCCCCTGCTTACTTCCGCCAACGTACAGTAAGGTGGACTTATTTGTTTCTCTCTCCATGAAGGCAGAGATTTTTTCTCATTTTGGTCTCTGTTTTATCTCCAGCACCTAGAAGAGGGCCTGGCACACAGGTGGCATTTACTAAATACTTGCTGAATGAATAGCCCTATGGCATGCTGTGAAAGTTCGTTTTAAAAGTCAACTTGGCTAGGATATAGTACCCAGTTATTTAATCAAACACTAGTCGAGGTGTTGCTTTGAAGGCATTGGGTAGATGTGGTTCACATCTACAATAAGTTGACTTTCAATAAAGAAGATTACCCTTGATAATGTCCGTAGGCCTCATCCAATCAGTTTAAAGGCCTTAAGAGCAAAAACTAAGGTTTCCTGGAAAACAAGGAATTCTACCTCAAGACTGCAGCATCAACTCTTGCCTGAGTTTCCAGCCTGCCAGTGGCCCTAAAGATTTGCCAACCAGGTGTGTGTGTGTAATACACCTGGGTACTGTTATCATCTCTATTTTACATATGAAAAAGACTAGGAACCCAGAGAGGGTCCTTGGCCAAGTTCAACCCAGCTGGTGAACATTCAAAGAATATCTATTACTATCATGGCATTCAAGACCCTCCCAGATCTGGTCCCTGCTGATGTCTCCAGCCCCTTCAGCTACCAAGGCATCTGAATGTCCAGCTGCATCAGCTAATAATGGTTCCCTAAGCAGCATGTGTTGCTTCATGCCTACAAGGCTTTGCATATGCCATCCCTTCCTCTGGAAAACTCTTCCATTCACCTTTCTCTGACCAACTCCTGTTCATCCTTCAAGGCCCCAGCTCCAACATCCTCTCTCTGGGTACTCCTTATCCAACAGTGAGTCAGGGAGGCTGAAGGACGCACCTCATCGGCGGCAGCTGCAGGTATATGGAGCTGGTTTCGTCGGAGCCAGGCAGCCTTGTACTTGTCCAGTTTCTGGCCCTTGTACTTGACAGAGGCCCAGCCACAGCCAGACTTCTTGGCTGGGTTCACCAGCTTCTTGCAATGGGTGGCCCAGGCGCTGGGTGAGTTGAACACCTGGCCCGTTTCCTGCCACACAATCCTCCCATCGGGCTGCAGGTCTCCCACGAACTTCTTCCCCTGCAGTGACAGTGGGCTGGCTGGGCCCAAGAGCTGGTACCCATCAAGACCCCTCCTCTGGGAAGTCCTCCCTGACCCCATGCTGCTTCCCAGGGTTTGGTAACCACTTCCTGCTTCCTTCCAGGAAGGCTTCCAGCTTAGGTACCATCCCAATCAGACTGGATTGGAACTGTCCAGTTATATGACTGTCCCCCCTCCCTTCACTGGACTGTGAGCCCCAAAGGGCAGGAACAGGGTCTGTCTTGATCTCTGCTGTGTCCCTAACACCCAACACAGCCTGGCACACAGCAGGTGTTCAATTCACAAATTGCTCCCACTCACAAAGAGCACAACAACAACAGTAACAATAATAGTAATAATAGCAAACACTTATAAAAAGCACTTACTGTGTAGCAGGCATACTGCTGAGCACTTTATTCATTGAATCCTCACGCAACCCCACGGGAGGAAAGAAAATCCCATTCTACAGATGGGAAAACTGGTATACGGAGAGGTTGAATAAGATCACACAGTCAGGAAGGCACTAGTGTCCTCTCTGAGCCTAAGTTTCTTAGACTGTGTGTCTAAGGTCACACAGTCAGGAAGGCACTAGTGTTCTCTCTGCGTGGAGTGTTTGGTAAACAATGTTCTCCCGCCCAGAAGGGCTCGTGCTGGGTCAGGATGCTCCGTACCTCAGTTTCCCCTCCCCACACCGGGGCTCGGCCTGCGGCAAGAAAGCACACTGGACTCCGGTTTCCCCTTTTGCACCAGCTAGGATGGGATGCGGCTAGGGGGTGCTCACCAGATAGTAGATGGACAGCACCCCGGCGCCGGGCTCCAACAGCGCGTCTTTGAGGAGCACCCGCAGCGTGACCGCGCGCCTGGTGAGCGCGCCCCCCGGCCCGCCGCAGCTCCCTGGCCCGGCCCCGCCGCCACCGCCGCCGCCTCCGCTGCGCGCGCCACCCGATGCCCCCGGCCGCTCAGAGTCCTCGGCCTCCGCCTCGTCCTCGTCCGGCGCCTCCTCGCCCGCGCCGCCCGCGGGGGACAGCGGCTCTGGAGCTGCGGGCAGCAACAGGCTGCAGCGGGGCCTCGCACCCCGAGCTGGTCCAGCCAACCCACCCAGCGCCTTGCCGGCCCCCCACCAGGCCCGCCGTACCTGCCATGGCCGCTCAGCCACACGCCCAGCGCGCCTCTGGTGCTTTCTTCCCGGCACGTGACGCGGCTCTGCCCCGAGCGGGAAGCGCCCCAGCCATTGGCCGCCGCCGGTGGGCGGGTCAGCAGGAGCGAGCGGGGAAAGTCAGGCCTCCGGCTTGCACACGCTGGAGAAAGAGGCGGCGGCTCAATCCTCCGGGGCCATTCGGAAAACTGAGGCCTGAGGCCACCTTCCATGGGAGGGGGGCTGGTAGCCGAGAGTTCAGGGTACCATTGGGGAAACTAAGGCCGGGGACTTACGGTTTCGGAGAACCAATGACTCCACCCGAGGCCATAGCCTACAGGATTGAGGCCTGGGGCTGGGGGACAAGGGTGGCTCAGCCCACTAGGACGACCGAGGAAATTGAGGTCCGCGGCCACTCCTATTGAGGGACACACAGGCCTCGGCTGTTGGGACCGAGGAGACACTGAGGCCCGGGAGAATGAGCCACACTGCCCTGGGGCTACGGGATGGAATGGGGAAGCAGCCCCGAGCCGCGACTGTAGATCGCCCAAGCCGGGCGGCAGTCTCTAAAGGGTTAACTTCCACCCTTCCCGGCGGCCCTCGACTGATTCCATGATTGGATCACAGCAGAGCCAGCCAACCAATTAAAACTGGGTCATTTCATCTTCAGCCAATAGACGGTAGAGGCTGGATTCCTTCCAGCCATTCAGTGTTAAACTGCTCCTCCTCTAGCAGTCAGCAGGAGACTCCGGCCTCACGCATCCAATCAGTTGTAGGGTCTTGTCCTCAGCTAGCCAATCAGCTCGCGGGTCAAAGCTGGCTCGTGGCCTCCACCCCCCACCCAACACTAGCGCTTCGTGCATGTGGGCTGAGCCCAGCTAGTGCGCCGCACAGCTGCAGCCCTTTCTTTTCTCGGTGGCCTCTGTCCCGGGACCTCCGCTCCGAGGCGCAGGGCCACCTCCCAGCGCTGGGACTCACCAGCCCCTCGCAGGGCTTAAAGCCCGGGGTGGGGGCTCCGTTAAGCTGCAGGGCACCTTTGGCTGGGCTCAGCCGCATATGGGTGTACCCGACCCGGGTCTGGAAGAGGGGACAGGCTGTTAGGGGCGGGGGTGTCCAGCCAGGATGATCTGGAATCAGACTGGACCTGGCTCCAAATCCTGCGCCACCACTTCCCAGCTCTGTGACTTTGGCCAAGTGTCTCCACCTCCCTGTTGCCTCCTGGGGATAATAATTCCTGCTTCAGAGTTGTTAAAGACCAGGGCTTGACAAAGAGTAAGAGCTAGGCAATGTGAATGATTATTATTACTCATGATGAAATAAAATTTGTATTTTAAGGCAGGACAAGAAAAAGTAAACAAAATTCTCTGTTTGTTTGGACCTCCTTCCTCCCTCTCTCCCCAATCTGCATTACACATTAACCAGTGATCCTCAAACATGGGAAGATGGGAATGCCTACTCAACAGTAAATGTAACTTCTTAAAAGAATAGTGTTTTTTCCCAGCTCTGTAGGGGATCAGGATGATTTGCTCCTCCTTTTTTTTTTTTTTTTTTTGTTTTGCGGTACGCGGGCCTCTCACTGTTGTGGTCTCTCCCATTGCGGAGCACAGGCTGCGGACGCGCAGGCTCAGTGGCCATGGCCCACAGGCCCAGCCGCTCCGCGGCATGTGGGATCTTCCCGGACCGGGGCACGAACCCGTGTCCCCTGCATCGGCAGGCGGACTCTCAACCACTGCGCCACCAGGGAAGCCCGCTCCTCCCTTTTTACGGGCTTACCTGGACTATCTATCCTTGGTGAACTTTATGTAGAATATCAGTATGTCATTTCGATGTATGATCCTTTGTCTCAAGGCGGTCCAGTGGTTAAGACTCCATGCTTCCACTGCAGAGAGGGCGCGTTCGCACCCTGGTTGGGGAACTAAAGATCCCGCATGCCCCGTGGTGCAGCGTAAATAAACAAACAAACAAATAAATAAGTAAAATGTATATGACTGTGCCTTCAGCTTCTAACAGGCAGAACAGCGCTCAGCACTTTCTGAGAATCTGCTTCCTCTGTTATAATCCTCAGTTTGGCTCAAATAAAATTCCCTTTTTTCTTCTTCTTAACTTGATAGTTAAATTTCATTGACACTCACTTTGTGTCCAGTCCAAACCTCCTTTTGGAGTCATCTCACCACCCACCCAGGAGCTAGCCATCAACTATGCATTCCCCAGCCCCTTAGACTCAGCAGAGCTCAAACTGGCCCGTTTATTCCCCCATACCCTTGCCTACTTTCTCTTTGGCTCTCTTATAAAACCCAGGGCTGGATCTCGAGCCTCTCCCATCTGGATCATTTCCTAGGGACTCAGGCCTCCACACTCACCCACACCCTGTCCATCTCTCACCCTGGCTGGCCCCAGAGAGATCTTTATAAAATACAACTATGACCACCTCCCTCCCCATTGCCTTTGATAAATAAAATTAAAACTAACTGCTGTGTGGACTTCCCTGGTGGTGCAGCGGTTAAGAATCCGCCGGCCAGTGCAGGGGGCATAGGTCCGAGCCCTGAGCCTAGAAGATCCCACATGCCGCATAGAAACTAGGCCCGTGTGCCACGACTACTGAGTCTGAGCTCTGGAGCCCACAAGGCATAACTACTGAGCCTGTGCTCCTAGAGCCCGTGCTCTGAAACAAGAGAAGCCACCTCAATGAGAAGCCCGGGCACAGAAAGGAAGAGTAGCCCCTGCTCGCCGCAAGTAGAGAAAGCCCATGCACAGCAACAAAGACCCAACGCAGCCAAAAATAAATAAATAAATATATTTTTTAAAAAAAACAAAAAAAAACCTAACTGCTGTGACCTTATTAACCATTAACCATTTACAGCACCCCTATATGGCAGATAGTATAATCAACATTACCAGACAGTTCAGCAGATGAAGAGGTTGCCCAGACCACACAGTTCTTGAGCAGATTCCAAAGGCTATTCTTTGCTATGCGTATAAAGTCCAGGCAGCCTTATAACTACGAAAGAAATTGAATTTGTAATTTTAAAAGTCCCCAAAAAGGAACTAGGTATCTTCAAGATTCATAAATTCTTTAGCTACACGTTAATTTCTGTAGCAGACCTGGCAAGTATTTGAGGTCAAAACCCTATGTGTTTAAAAAAAATGTTTTTTACCCTATGTGTTTAAAAAAATATTTTTTACCATGCTAATAAAAGTATTCATTTGCTTGGGAGAAAAAAAAAAAGTCCCAAAAAAGAAATCTCCAGACCCAGATGGAGAATTCTATGAAGGTTCAAAGAAATATTAATACCATTTTACATATTCTCTTCCAGAAAATTGAAGAGGGAATATTTCCCAATTCATTTTTTTTAAAGATCTTTTTGATGTGGACTATTTTTAAAGTCTTTATTGAATTTGTTACAATATTGCTTCAGTTTTATGTTTTGTTGTTTTGGCCGCGAGGCATATGGGATCTTAGCTCCCTGATCAAGGATCGAACCTGCATCCCCTGCATTAGAAGGCAAAGTCTTAACCACTGGACCACCGGGGAAGTCTCCCCAAGTCATTTTATGAAGCTAGCATCTCCCTGACACCAAAACCAGATAAGAAGAGTACAAAGAAAGAAAACTACAGGATATACCTCATGAATCCAAACACAAAAATCCTTACCAAAATATTAATAAATAGAATTCAGCGATACATAAAAAGAATTATATACATCATGACCAAGTGAAGTTTATTCCAGGGGTGCAAGGCTGGTTCAGTATGCCAAATTCAGTCAGTGTTTTCCACCATATTTAAGAGACTGTGGTTCCCTGAAGGTGTCCATGTCTGAATCCCCAGAGCCTGTGAATACTTAGGTTACATGGCAAAGGGGATTTAAGGTTGCAGATGGAAGTACAGTTGCTAATCAGCTGACTTTAAAATAAAGAGATGATCCTGGGACTTCCCTGGTGGTCCAGTGGGTAGGGCTCCACACTCCCAATGCAGGGGGCCCGGGGTTCAATCCCTGGTCAGGGAACTGTATCCCGCATGCATGCCGCAACTAAGAAGCCCGCCCACCACAACAAAAGATCCCACGTGCCGCAACTGAGACCTGGCGCAGCCTAAATTAATTAATTTTTAAAAATAAAAATAAAATAAAGAGATGATCCTGGACTATCTGCTGAGCCCAATGTAATAACAGGGGTCCTTAAAAATGGAAGAGAGTCAGGAAGAGATAACTATGGAAGAAATTCAGAGTGATATGATGTGAGGTTCCTACCCACAGTTGCTGGCTTTGTGGATGGAGGAAGGAATGAGGAAAGCTTCTAGAAGCTGGAAGAGGCAAGGAAATAGATTCATTCTTTGAGCCTTCAGAAAGGAAAACAGCCCTGCCAACACCCTGATTTTAGCTTTGTGAGATCTACGTAGGACTCCTAACCTACAGAGCTGTAAGATAATACATTTGTGTTGTTTTAAGCCTTTAAATTTGTGATAATTTATTATATCGACCACAGAAAACTAACACACAAGCTAAAGAAGAAACATCATAAGAATGTATCCATTCATGCAGAAAAAGCATTTGACAGAATTCAACACCCACTCATAATAAAAACTCTCAGCAAACTAGGAACAGAGGGGAAACTACCTCAACTTGGAGAAGCACGTCTACAAAACTTCAGTTAACATTGTGCTTAATGGTGAAAGAGGGAACACGTTTTTTTCTTTTGCCACGCCATGTGGCATGTGGGATCTTAGTTCCCCGACCAGGGATTGAACCCGTGCCCTCTGCAGTGGAAGCATGGAGTCTGAACCACTGGACTGCCAGGGAAATCCCACTTTTCCCCTTAAGACTGGGAACAAGGCAAAGATGTCCACCCTCACCACTCTTATTCAACAGAGTCCTGGAAGTGCTAGCCAGCACAATAAGACAAGAAAAGGAAATAAAAGGCATACAGATTGGAAAGGTGGAAGAAATGCAACTAACCCTATTTGCAGATGACATGATGGCCTGTGTACAAAATCACAAGAAATCTACCAAAAACGCCCCTTGAACTAAGAAGTGGGTTAGTTCAGCAAGGTTATAGGATAAGAGATCAGCACACAAAAATCAATGGCATGTCTGTATGCTAGCAATGAACGTGAAAACTGGAACTAAAAGTACAATGGTGTTTATAATTACTAAGGAAGAAAGAAAGAAAGAAAGAGAGAGAGCGAGAGAGAAAAGAAAGAAAGAAAGAAAAAGAGAGAGAAGGAGGGAGGGAGGAAGGAAGGAAGGAAGAGAAAGACCATGTCTGTGGGTTGGAAGACTCAACACAGGACATAAAAGATGTCAAGTCTCCCTCAACTGATACACAGGTTTAGTGCTATTCCTGTCAAAATCCCTGCAAGATTTTTGGTAGATACAAACAAGATTGTTCTAACGTCCAGGTGGCCTAATGGGCTTCCTGGACATTGTATCACTCTCTGGTCTCATCCCCTCACCACTCTGGCACCAGACTCCGTTCTCTCCCTTCCAGGCCTTTGCTTAGGCAGGTCCCCCTCCTGATGCCCTGGCACTGACAGCTCCCAGCAGCTCTCTCCTCTG